TGAACATGCCATGCCATGCCAATACACCCATATATTGAAACTTTTTTGAGGCAATAATCACTCATAGTGGTCATTTCTTTTCTTTTTTTTTAGAAAATGCTTCTTCAGAACAAATAAAGTTCTAAATGGTGGGGTTAGCAAGTTTATTGAAGAGTTGAATCAGTCTTGCAAATCTGGGGTTTTGATGTGTGAGTTCGATTCTTCCCAGTTTAGAATGTTCTTGAGGGACATAATGAAGTCTTATTTTCGGTAAGTCATATGTAAAATAGTAATTAAAATCATGTAAGGATCCTGTCCTTATCTGATTAGGGCATTTGAGTGAACTCAGTGTTGTCACTAAGGTTCCAAGTTGCCGGGAAAATACAACAAGTTGGCAGGGAATCAAACAGCTAGAGATTTCTTTTGGTTCTATTTTTCTTCTATTTTCCATTAAAAGTAGCCAGGGTTCAAACTCATAGTAGCCAGGGGAAATCCCCGGCCCCCGGCTCTTCATGACAATTACCCTGTGAACTGATTAACGTATAAACAATTTTGCTAGTCGATGGTTATAGACATTCATGTTTCAACAGTAGTCTGCCTGCAAGTCATTATTATTAATTTAGACTATCAAACAAAATGATTGTTATAATTTAATAAAATAATTATTATAATTACCATGAGACCCCTTTTGAAGATACACGATTAGCAACAATTTATTAAGTTCTATCTTAACTCTACTTACAAAAATTTGACAGTCTGCCACAGTTTCTCATGAGTGAATACTTGTCGAGTTGAAGCTGTTTTAGTTAACAGTCACACTTCCTTTGGTGCTATGCTTAGGGGGGTAAACTGAACCCCCCCTACTGGATCTGCCCCAGCACTTAGAATTTCCAATAGCCTTCCTTGCTGGGGCCATGGATATTTTATGGAACCAGAGACAAAATAACTTCAAAGTCTAATTTTTTAAAAGTTTACTTTCAAATTTTATTTTGTTCTGAACAGAAACTGTGAAAATGAGAACAGGAGAAAAACTTTTAAAGCTGCAAAAACTATTGGCAGACAAGAGGGTTCTAAAGTCTGGGTAATCAACGAGTCCATTCACATAGATGATAATGGTGACATTGTCCCAGAGGAAGAGAAGGAGTTTGTGTGGATAGATGACCTCTTTGATGACAACGTAAAGACTCAGGAGGTCATCTATCCGTTCACAACACAAGCCTTAAACGATGTTTTGCGCGGGTTAAAGGAGACCCTGCATGGGAACTTTATAGCATCTTTTCTAGCAGTGGGTAGGTTTATTATCTTTATAACAAAATTTTCACATTATTATTATTATCATTATTATTATCAGCTGCTTGCATCTGTAACTATTAGTTTGAGGTCACTTCCCTTTTAAGAAGTTTTTATAAAGCTTTTATTTATCCACTCAAACACTTAATAACTTAATAATATATCATGCAATTACCTATCAGAGACCAACTACAGTGCATGCACCTACACCTCAAAATACATGAGTATATAGAACTTTTTACATGGTTGTCAGCAATGGAAACGTTACTAGGGATTTCAATATTGGCAACTCAAGCTATAACAGGACGTCGTTTGTTTTAGGGTCTACAGGTCATGATAGTTTTTTCATTATGATTGTTGGAAGTACTAGTACCATCTACAGACACTAAACTAATAAACATTGACAAACAAGGAAGGAAGTAATATTGGCATAAGGTACCCTTTTTTTCCTTTATTTTTTCTGCAGCTGGCAGTACATTAGGCCTGCACTATGAATCCATTATAGAAGCAGGCTTACATTTCCCAGTCCCAGTTATCTGTGGTGAACACAGACTGGGTAAAACAGAAACTGCTAGGGTAGCTCTCCGTCTAATGGGCAATGACAAGCAGTTCTTTTCATCAGCACGGGAGCGTTTTATTCCACGTCTTTGCTCCAGGTCAACCTTTCCTCCCGTGCTGGATGATATAAAGAACACCCATCAGCTTGGAGAGCTTGCCTTAGCATACTTCGATGGAGGCAAGGATGGCACTTGTAGCCGTGAAATGTCACCGAAGACTTGTCCAGTGGTGACAGTAAACTGGGAAGCACTGGAGGGTCTTCCTCAGGATTATAGGTATGCTAATATAAACACAATTAAATTAATTAAATTCCGTATTTAACAGGTCTAAATATTCAAACCAATTAGTACCGGCATTTCTACTAATACTGGTCACATAATGTATTGAGCCAACATCGGAAAGTGGATCATGCAGTCATGAAATTTTTCCTCTGAAAATTACCTAATTATTGAACATTTGTAATACATTATGCTGAAATTATATTTTTTACTCTGCTGTACAGACGCCCTCTTGGTTTTTCTCTCTTCCAACAGACCCGCTATATTGTGGTCTTCAGAAATTAAAAGAAAAACAACCTAATATCGTTAACTTTTCAACAGGATTGCCAGCCGCTTGATCATGATCCCCTTTGTTGTGGGGCCCAGAAGCTCCAGCGGACTCCAAGCCCAATTGCAGGCTGAAGAAAGCCTTCAAGAGCAGATGGCAAATGCTCCCAGGGCCCTGGGACCATTAATTGCCATCAACATCTCCACTGTTTTAAACCGCAGTAAGGAGATAAAAGCTCTCTTTGCAGAAGACTTCATGGATATTGACGACAGGGTGATGGAAAATTACTCTCTTCTTTTGTCAATGGGAGTAGAGGTAAGTGGCCATCATCAGAAGTTCCAAATAATTGCTAGTAAATTATGTCTCCTAAAAAGTGAGTTATTATTCAAAAAGGGTCTATCAACAACTTGTTGTAGGGATGGCCGGTCTTTTACAAACAAAAGTAAAGGGAGATTATATCAAAGTTGCTGCATAGGAGCTAAAAAAAAAGCCTCCAAAAGGAAAAGTCGGATCAAGTAAACTACAAGAAACACAATTTGATTACTTTTTGTTGCAAAAAACCCAAATGGAAGAATAAAAATTCCGTTCTTATCAAGTGCCTCATTCTTGGTCTTGGAGAATTATGCTCATAAATTAATACTGGTGGATAAGAAAATTTCTTATTGCATTTAATGCAATATTTGTAATAGTCACTAAGCTAACCTTCTGACAGTTGAAACCACCAACTGAAAATAATTCAATGTTATAAGCACCAAAACCATAATATTATTAAGGTCATAATAATTAAATTGTCTTTAATTGTTAATCAAGATACCATTAACTATTTTAAAAATTTATGACAATCAAAGTTAGAGTACTAGTACTACCTTATCTTTCCTTTGCAGCTTATCGATATCATTGATGATGAAGAAATTGTTAACACCAAAATGCTAGAAGAGTACTTTGAAAATACCATTTATCCCATGTGTGTCAAAAAGTACCAAACAAAGTTACAGGGAAATGGTGCCAGCACAGAAGATGGAGGGCCTTTCATTGTTTCGTTAATAATGGAGGCCATTCATTGTAATGACTTGACAAGGGGCAAGGTACATTAGACATTGCCTATGAATTATTGATAACCTTTAAAGAAGTTTCTTGCTACAATCAAAACTGCATGTTGCTGCAGAATTTAAAAATTCATAAGTATCATAGGTCAGCTTAATTGCAAAGTATTGATGTTTCTCACATGGATTTCACATTGAATGGGTTCAATTCCAATATATAGGATGGTGCATTTCTATTTCAAGGTGTTTTACCTGTCTTATTTTTGCTTGGCTTTCTATTACAAATGGTTGTTGTAAATTGTTTTTTCCTTGTGAAAAACCACAAGTTCCACACAAATGGCTAAAGTGAATAAACACGAAAGCAGTGACCACACATATTTATTATACATTATTATTATAAATTATCATAAATTATTTAAATCAAAATTGATAGTTGTGAATAATGATACATAATCCCACCCTCTCAGTCGTAGGTTAGGGCATTAGGTAAATGTTTAAACCCACCACACACCCAGTCCCTGTTCTTCAACTAGTTACAATATTATATATATAAATTTTTTTTCAGCTCTTGACCTGCATCAACCCGTGCATTACCTTCAAAATGAAAACACCTGAACAAGGGGAAATGAAATGCAATGGACTTGCTGTGGCCCTGGGTCCTTTCCTCGCAATGCTTTCTAATCATGGCTTGGACACTCTGGCACCCCACGACCGCATAAAGCAAGAAATAAAGAATCATGGCCTTGGGTTAACCACAAACTGTAAACAGGTTTTCGACAACGAGGATGGATCTACCATTTCCAGAGCAAAAGAGGCCAAACAAAGCACTTCTTTTAAGTACTGCATTTTTCTTAAAAGAAGTGTGTTTGGACCAGAAGCATGGGAGGAATTTGCCACATGTAATAATAATGTTATTATTACTCTATAATTTGTGTTACTTAACCACAGGAAAAAAAAAATTATTATTTGCTATTCTACAATAATTTTTAGTATACAGATGCTTTAATAATGAACAAATTTTATCAACAGATGTTTTTACTGGTACAATCACACTATATGAACTTTTGATACTCCTCAGGGTGAAACAAACATATATATATATATTAAAAGCCTGCCCTTCAGGCAACCTGCAACTAGCATGTAATAGCCCGAATGCCATTTCAACTGGTCCTAGATTTTTTTGGAAGTAGGATTAATCTAATTACTAATTACTGTAATTAGTCTATTATACCATTAGTTGAAAATAGTTTTCAGTTTACCTGTTTTACCAGAGTCAAGGAGGTACTGAATTGAAATTTCATGTGGCCGTTTGAAATTTCCTAAAAAACTTTCACTTGCCCATTGGGGTAGTAAAGCACGAAATCCATAAGCCCGATTGCAAAACCCACTAGCCACGGGCTATCGGACACGACTTTAGTCGCACCCTGCTCCTGGGTTTAAACCTATCACAGTGCACTGAGATATGGAAATTCTTTTCACCATCTATTTCTACAGATTTTGGATTAAGCAAGGCTACAACTATAGCATCACCACCGGTTACAGTGACACCAGCCGCAACAGTATCACCAATAGCAATGGTATCACCACCACTTCTGGTGACACCACCCACAACTGTGTCACCTCCTGCTACACTGTCAGCACGAAGTACGCTTTCATCACCAGTTACAGTGACACCAGCCACAAAAGTATCACCAACAGAAATGGTATCACCACCAGTTCTGGTGACACCACCCACAACTGTGTCACCTCCTGCTACACTGTCAGCACTAAGTACGCTATCATCACCAGATACAGTGACACCAGCCACAACAGTATCACCACCAGTTATGATGACACCACCCACCACCGTGTCACCTCCTGCTACGCTGTCAGCACTAAGTACGCTATCACCACCAGTTACAGCGACACCAGCCACAACAGTATCACCAACAGCTATGGTGACATCACCCACAACCGTGTCACCTCCTGCTACACTGTCAGCACTAAGTACGCTATCACCACCAGTTACAGCGACACCAGCCACAATAGTATCACCACCAATTTCTATGGTGACACAACCCACAACTGTGTCACCTCCTGCTACACGGTCAGCACTAAGTATGCTATCACCACCAGTTGCAGTGACACCAGCCACAACATTATTACCAACAGCAATGGTATCACCACCAGTTATGATGACACCATCCACAACTGTGTCACCTCCTGCTACACTGTCAGCACTAAGTACGCTATCACCACCAGTTACAATGCCACCACCCACAGCAATGTCATCTCCTGCCACAGCATCACCACCAACTATGGTTCCACCGCCAGTTACAGGGGCACCACCTGCAGCTGTGTCACCTCCTACTACAGTGCCACCACCAACTTCACCAGGATTAAATGATAGTGGTATTGGATTATTAGTTGGTGAGTTAAATCAAATATTTGATACGTACTTTTATGAAAATTTTTATTAATCTCTTTGCAAGATCAAAAATGTTGTGCAATGATTAATAATGTTACTGTAGAAATGAGAACAATAGTTTCCATCTGCAGTGCGTGAGGAAAAAAAAATAAAAGTGAACTTACTGATGCCTGAGACAAACGTTGTCAGCTATTATTAATCACATAATTATTACTCAAAAGGAAAAAAAAACAGGATTTGAATTTCACAGACTTTTACATTGTTCAGATATTAAATGCATGAAATCTTATTTTGATGTCCACCAGTGGAATGTGATCAAATCAACGAGGAAGATCTAAAGAGAACTGTATGTGGAGGTCAATCAAAGGAAAATAAAAAAAGAGAAGAACATCAGGTAGCTAGAGCTTGCATTCGGTGCATTGGAAATCAACCAGTTATCTCCTGTCATGTTAGCTTGCGCTTAATTCCTGGGTGTAGTAAACAAGGCAGTCTAGAATTTAATAATAGATACTTAAGTTTAAAGGAAAACAAGGCATTACCATTAAACAGCACTAAAAAAAATATATAGATAACATAGCATGTAAAAAAAATGAACAAACTCAGCTGGAAGGTGTGACCAATGGCAATGAATTAATGAATAATTACCAGCCAGTTGTTGTTTGGGAGACATAATGGTGACATGAAGCTGCAATTTTGTCCTTTAAAAGTATTAGTTTTAGTTGCTTTGCCTTGTAATCATTAAATTATAAGGCGGTTCGTTTACGAAGATATCAAGATTTAACATTTTGTCTAATGATACTACTGTCTCCTTGCCACAATGTTTTCCACTATTATTTAAAGTAGGTATTAGTAGACCTTATTTAATATGCCAGATTGTGTAGCCTGCACAATAGATTAACATAATAATCTCATTTTCATTCCCATCACTAAAGATGTAGCCGGGACTGTACTACAGCCAGGAACAATGTCAACACATACAGTTAAGGCACATGCAAAAAAAAGAAAAGTAGCTGCAGGTATTTACATCTCTACTTATTATTATTATTATTATTATTTTTTCTATTTGCAGTGATGTTTTTTTGGAATGATGGCCGGTATACAAAAAAATAAAATAAAATAAAAATTCACGATCTAATATACATCACTTCTCAATACATAAAAAAAAAAAACTTCATTGTGCCTCCATGTTGGACTACTGTAGTTAGTGACAGGGGTTAAGTGTGCTATTCCAATAATTATGGATTGTCTGTTGCCTCGACATTTTAGTGGAAACCCAGGAAACCGTGTTATTGGTTTGCAACCAACACTTGTTGACCATAACTGACATTATGAAGTATCAGTGCAATGCCAGTATGCAAGGCTGAATTCACTTCTAAATATTATGATGTTTGATACATTGCATTGAACCATGGTACATGGTACAATAATCAAGTTGTGTCATTTGATGTGATCCATCATTTACTTTATGATTCCTTTTTATTTTTATGTATAGAAGATGGTACTGATTACAAGTTCTGTTTTTGCAAAATGGTAAGTCCTACCAGAGTAGTCTTAAGTTAATATGTAGACATTTCTTGATTGAAAAAACTATGACTTAAGGCCAAGGTGTCAATCCCATGAGCAGTCTTTTCCATGCCCTGTCATCTCGGTGCACCAATAGGAATATAAACCTGTCATATAGCTCGTAACACTCTTTTTATTGTATAACAGGATAATTTTATTTTCCAACAGGAGAAATCAAAACCTGAGGAAGACAACATGATTGTATGCGAGAACAGAAAACGACAAAAAAAAACCAAGGTAATTACTTAAAGTAGATTTTCCACAAACATTTAGGTGCAGATTTTTTGTTCAAAAAGTATCATTTTAAGTTGAAATAAGCATAAGCAATTTTAAGAACTAGCTCATTAGTTGATGAATAACAAACCAAGACGGAATCCACGAGGAAAGTGGGTATAATTTCAATTTTAATTTTAATTTAACGCATATTGCATTCTTTTTACATTTTTTAAGAAAATTTTTTCTGGGAGCCCTAGAAAGTGAATGTTAACTTTCAAAAACTTACATCTTACATATGAAAATTCCATAAAATGTTTTCACAAATCTTGTGAAATTTAAAATTTCTTTGGTGTTATTACAGATAACTAATTAAATCTTTAACCCTTGAAAAATTTTAAATTTTAATCTGCATTACCTCAACAACATGTAATTAATGTGATGCAAAAAGATTATTGACAAGTTCTAATACACGCTTAATATGATATATTTTCAGTGTCCAGGAAATCGCTATTATCACTTGCAATGCCTTAACCTGGAAGAAGTGCCAGAAGAAAATCCATGGTTAGTTTGCAACTAGTCAAGTGTAATTGACTCTAGGCTAGGAAGGTCAATATTAAATATAATTTTTAAGAGAAAATTAAGCTAACGGTTTTTTGAGTTGGGTAAGCAAAGGTCCTAAAATTAGGACAATCAGTAGTATCTATTAATTGACGGAAAACAATTTAGTATATTACTGTAAAGAAAATAGCAGACGGACACTCCTTTTTTTTCGTCAAAACTACTTGTAAAGAATTGGCCAATTCCAACCATGTTAAATAAAAGCACATACATAATCATTTTTACATGAAAATATGTTGGTGTGATAAAAATAGTTATGAGTGAAAGTAAAGAAAATTTCATGTGTTTTACAGCATCTCTTGCCACTCAAATTCGTCTACCCTCTAAGCCAACCCTTGAACATGCCATCTTGGCTCTGAGAGAAAGGGGAACAGTTTGCCTCTAAAACAAATTAAATAATCTCTTGCCTTGTACTTTTCAGGTTCTGCCCTCTCTGCAAGGAAAGACTGCAAACTTAGCTAACGGCAATGTTTAGTTGTCATCTAAAAAGAACAAGGATTGCAAGCATGCGAAACCACAAATCACACGGAAAAAAAATCTTCCCAAAAAAATTTTGTATTGATTCGACGATCAGGTTGTAAATTAAAATGAATAATAGTTATCATGTACAAATTAAAAAAACTCAACTCTCACAAAATCCTATTAAAACGTGTTTGACCACTACCAAGTGACTTGTGATGGTGTCAATTAATAAATTAAGTACCGGTACTTGAAGGGGGCAAAATACATAGCACAGAGGATTCTATAATGAGTTAATGACTATACAAGTAGTGCTGGTCTCGTTGAGCTATATACACAGGAATTTTAAAACATGGAAGTCAATACAAGTCGCCTATAATGAGAATTCTCCTGTCAGAAAAAACAATTATTTATCGTACACAAAACAAAATAAGCTCACCTTGGCTCAAAAATATACAAGTGAGCCGCCGATACAGTGTGTCCATGAACACATCACCCTTATCCTTGCTAACTTTACGCATCCTCCTTATCTTACCTTTCACCACGAACATTCTATCGTCCTGACTAACTGCCCCTGGATCTCCGAGGATGTCGCAAACCCTGTATTAAGTAGTCCATTGGACATTTTCCACCAAGATTAACAGGAAATGCCACGAAGTGAAGAAGTGTTCTTAACGCAGGGCCTGCGCAGCAAAATTGGATGACTGCTCGTTAAGCATGCTGCAGAGGCGACTCTATAAAAAACAAACACCTCTAAAGGATTCATTTTTCAAACAACCAATTCATAAATTAGACTCCTTCGCAGCCGTTTTTAGCCTCAAAACGGCTACGAAGGGGACTATTTTTTTTTCACTTTATTGGGGTAAAATATGCAATCACAAGAAGACATATTATTGTTAAAGATATGAAAGTAATCAATTATACTTACAAGAATAATTAATTATAATTATAATTAAAAACCTTTGCTGATCCCCAAAAGGGAAAGTGCAAACGGGACCTCAGCCCCACACCAGGAACCGCCCTGTTGTTACTTACAATTATAATTACAATGTCAATGCTGATAAATAGCTCATTTAACCTTGAAAAAAACATTAATTCAAACCGTAAATGTAAGTTAACAATAAAAGTAAATACCGTATTTATTCGATTAATTGCCCTGGGCGCTTATTAAATTGTTGGACCTTGATAGTGGGCCCTTAATTGAGGTGGGCGCTTATTCAAGGCTAATAGTGCATGTGGTAGGCACAGTCACTTTGACCTGTGACAGGGACAGGTCAAAAGGTTATATTAATGCGATAAGAGGGGTACGCCTGACCTGATGCGACTGCAATTTTCTGGGAAGGCGTTCATAAGTGAAACTTGTACCGATTTTTTCTTTAAAAACAACAAGAGTCGCCCTGGTCCAAGCTGTATCATTCTGAACCCCAGTGTTTCCTCTCTGGAGGTTGCCTTTTCCCAAAAAATGACCCTCCCATTTCATTTCAAAGTGAGATTTCCCATTTTTTCACACAAATGATAAGGGAAAGACGCTGGGAACGCGGCTACGTCAACTACGTCATGCCCTGAAAAAGGCAACAGCGTCAGTTTTACAATTTTTCAGCCCGCGAAAGCATCCGTTTGTCCTTCGCTCTTCGCCGCTGGGGACGTTTCGCGAAACGTCCCCAGCGGCGAACGGATGCTTTCGCAGGCTAACTATTTTAAAATTAACATAATAATTGTCACATGCCTCCAGTATCATGTCTCACATCTTCAGTGTCGAATGTTCTCGTGCAAGCATCTTCCGACGGTTTCTGTATCGAAAGTTTTTGTATCGAAATTCCTTGTATAATAACAGTATATCACCTTGTAAATAACTTTTTGTGTATATAATCTTGTAAATATCTATTAAGTAGGTTAGTTTTTGTAAATTTACCCAGCTCGTGTCAGTAATGCCTCCAAAAGGCAGAGGAAGGAAGCGTCTCAACGGCGAAGCCTTTGTTGCAGAAATTCGCGAGGAAGCGACGCAATCTTTAAATGCTGAAGGAGCAATTTTGGAAGCCTTCCGTCAGCTGATGTCTACGGAGTTAAAAACAGATCCCATCAGACTCCTACCGCCAAAGGTTTTGTGGCTCTATGTTACTTCAAAGTATGAGGCAAACGCCGTCTCCTTTCTCACCAACTCCATCACTGAGCTTGCGGTCCTCCCACCGACGCGTCGTTTGGAAGCAATGGCGACGGTAGCAGGTATCTCGTTGGATGAGGTGAGCAGTATTCTTTGGATTTGTGAAATAATATAAAATTGAAGGCTGAAAAGATAAGCTTATATGTATGCCTTCAATGCACCACAACCAGAGTTTTTACTAGGTTTGCAGTACCTTTCATTTTTCGTATATCATTGACCAGTAGGCAAACGTGTGAAAAGTAACAGTGTTTGTGTGAGAATCTATTGTTGAATAATTTCTGTAAAACGGCTGTTCTGAAAAAATAGGACTTGTAAACTAAATCTTCACTCCTAAGGATTACACTGAAAAAAAATTGAGGGCATTCCATGCGCTAGAAGACTTCAAACCACGTTTTTGAATTTTCCTATACATTTGTTCTTAAGAAATTCCCGGGAAAATTTGCAGACATTAAAAAAACTGAAGAAACTTAAGCACAGGTACGCCCCCAAAAAGTTTTAGGACAATCCTTTGCTTTGTAGCTATAGTTTCCATTTTTTTTTTTTTCACAACTCAATGTCGTACCCAATTCAAATCTCCCGGGGTCAAGATTCTTTGTGTACTGTATTTGCATTATAATGTTGCATTCACATTTAAATGATATGGAAATTCCTGAAACAAAACTTTTTATCCCCAAAGGGTTTGAATTGGGTACAACATTTAGTTAGCCGAATAGGTCTATTATTCGACATTACATTCTCATACAAACACTGTCATTTCTCACGCGTTTGCCTACGCGTCAAGATGTTGTCAAAAACCGTGACAAGGCCTATACATTTGCCATTAATGCTCTCTTCATTTATACTAGGGTACTTTCCTGTATGAGGCTGTTGCTGTCGCCGGGAAGAGCAATTTAGAAACGCAGAACAATGGCTTCCCTGTCCTCCTAACTCCGCCTGTTGGCACTTGCCCTAACTGCAGTCACCGACTTATCGATCACAACAAGCCCTGTGATGTTCAAGTGTTGACGCTTGTGGGTAAAAAGGCCGGCCTTAAGTTTAGCTTGCGATGTGATCATTGCAAGTTAAACTTTAATTATGATAAGTACGGTAACCGTTCAAGGGGTTGGCGGCTTTATGATGAGATGCGGCCTTTGGTTGAGGCAACCGACGTATGCTTTGTTGACCGGAAGCTGTTAGAATGGCAATGTGCTTTGGCGTGAGTGTTTTATTTTGATTGTTGTTTTTATGTGAATTTGTTCTGATCTTTGGTTACATTTGCAGCAATCTGGTTGTTAATGCACCACAATCAGTATTCAACTGGTCACATAACCTTAGGTCAGGCGTTATATTTTCTTGTTTGCTTCTTTGGCTTGATATTGTAGAGGAAAAGGGAGAGGGCTTGTTCCCAGGCCATTGGTCACAGAAATTATGTTATCCTTGTTAATCATAATAACCTTAATCCTATAACTTATATATTTTTTTTAACTATAGAAACCACAGTTGGGTCAGCTTTTCTGGCTTCTCAACAGCCTACAATGAGGTGTTCCACCTGCTTTCAGTAGTGGGAGGTATTAATATTATTTGTATTATGCACATGTATTTTGAATACGTACTTTCTTCAAATTGGTTGTTGTTTGCTCCAAAAACTATTATGAATGACTGGCTCGAATAGCTACTGGTACAAAAGTTTTTATCAGTTACTAATTTATTTATTTTGTGGTTTTGTAGGCTATGGAGAAAAACAGTGCAGTTCTGCATTTTGGAATGGAGAATTGGAGTCTGAGCTGAGAGAACTGGGTAACCTCGACTTTTTTGGACTTCTAAAGGAAAATGATAGTCGAGAGAAGGTTATGGAAGAGGTGGACAAGAGACGTAGCAAGTCTGTCTACAGTCATTCAGAAGATGACTGTTCCGATGCTTGCAAAGCACGTGGTAAGGACTGTTCTTACAGATAGTTATGTCCTGGAACCATTGTCAGATTCTCTATTCCCATATCTCAACATGGCCTACTATTGTTTACTTATTAAGGAAATGTCATCAACTTGCCCCAGGGTTAGACCCCTGGGCCAACCAGGGGGGTTGTACAATGAGTGGAGCAAAGTTCCGGATTTCCTCCAGGGGTGGGGGAAATTAATAAGACAAAGTCCCCTGGAAAGGTAATGCTTTAATCAACTGATGAAACTGACAATCAAAGGATTGTTTTTGGAATTTCTCATATAATCCTCAACTCACCCAACTAATAGCTGCAAATCTTTTATTAATTGCTTTCTTGGAATCTTAAAGAGTTGTGGAATCTACACGAACCGTCTGATTGAGTCATTTTGATAATTGCTAGCCTCCCCTATAGACACTCTTAGGGCTTTATCATACGCGAGAGACTACATAATAGCAAGAATAATGCATGTACAAATGTAATTTTTTACTAAATACAGAATACAGGTGCCTGAATTTAAGACGTCTTCTCTGTCATCTAGTTTTCACAATGTTTCTTAATAAAATTGTATTTTCATTCCATCAAATGACAGGCTGTGGAAGGTTGTGGGTTTGTGATGGTCAGTGGAAGCTGATGTTCGCTCATTGTATGATGCATAGGAAGGTAAATAGAAACATATAGTATTATATTCATATTATTTTAAATGCCAAGAACAATACTAAAGTTGACATACTTGACAAAGCAAATAATTAAAGTAAACAAACGATAAGCAACTTAACAACTATTTTTGTCTTATACATACATCTTGATATAAAGCGTTTGTCGTATGAACAAAGTGTACAAAATGACTGTGGGAAGACATAGTTGTAACATATTATATCAACACATAAAAAGTAATGTAATTTACTAATACTTCCTAGATGTTTTGTAATTAGTTATCATG